TGGTCGTGGCCGGCGGGCGGGCGGGCTGCGGCCGCTCGGCAGGGTTTCGGCCTCGTGGCGCGGGCCCGCGCGCTCTTCCGCCAGGTCCTCTGCTCTTGACCGGCGGGCCGGCGTTCGGGTCGGTCTTCGCCCCGCGGCGGCCCTCCGCAGCTCCGGGTCCCCTGCCTCGTGGAGGAACCTCGGAGTGCGGGTCTGTGATGCCCTGGCCCTGGCCCAGGGGGGCTGGCTTCGCACTGCGCCTCGGCCTCTCCTGTCCCCCCGACGCCCCTTCCCACGGTAGTCCTCCGTGCGGTCCCCACCCGCCAGCGCTGCAGCCGCCCCCGCCGCTGGGGCTGCGTGCAGGGAGCCGGCAGCATATGGAGCCCAGGAGCTTAGGCTCCTCTGTTCATTTGAGCAAGGGGGAGCGAGTAAAGCCTTGGAAAGAAAAGAATGGCAGCCTTGTGGCCTTCGAGTGAGTGGTTAGTTGGCTACAGAAAACGTGGTGTTGCAACTAGGCAAAGCTTAGGAATTAATTTATCCCTTAAAAGTTGGAAAGTGGAAGACGTGATTGAAGTCTTCATTACTTACGCATGCCACTCAGAAAGAAAGCCGTTGTTTTGTACAATTAATATGCACCCATCAAAGATAATAAAAAGGGAAAGAATGGCACCTTTTAGGCGAGTGACTTAAGTGCTTTGACATTTCGTGCTGTTCTTTGCCTTTCTGTCTAGTTTTTACCAGATCCTTCCTGACATCCTTTTTCTTGTTCTTTGTTTTCGTTTGGCCAGGTCATCAGGAAACAAAGCAGGCCAAGTCTGGGCACCTGAAGGATCTACTGCTTTCAAATGTCTGCTCTCAGCCAGGTTATGTGCTGCTCTTCTGAGCAACATCTCTGACTGTGATGAAACGTTCAACTACTGGGAACCAGTAGGTGATTTCTTTCTTTCTTTTTCTTTTTTTTTTTTTTGCAGCACTGGGGCCTCAAACCCACAGCCTTACGCATGGGAGGCAAGTCCTTTACCACTGAGCTACACATCCAGCCTCTAGTTTTTGGTTTTTGTTCTTGATTTTCCTGTTTGGGAATTATTATTAAGATACAAGTAACTCTTCCCTTTTATGTCCTAAAAGCTGTTGATTACATACTGTTTAAAGGTTATGTGAAATTTAGCTTGTTTACTCAAAGTTAGCTTGTAACTATCTTAAGTTTTTTTAATGAAAATAATATTTGGAGACTTTTTAAAATTAACAGTTACAGCTCCTCGTTCTACTTCTTACATTCAAAACCACTCCCTCGAGGCAACCACTTTCAACTTTTTAATTTATTTCTTATGGTGTTTATCAAAATAAGCAGTGTTACTAAATATTATGCTTATAATGCCATTTCTTTATACATGTATTATCTGTTGATCAGAAAATCTAGAGGTAAATTTTTTGATAACATTTTACATCAAAAACTGGAGAAAAGATACTCAGTGGGGGTAGTTTAAGAAAAATATAAGATTTAGAGTTTTTCCTGCTTTGAGCTACT